TTCGTCCACTTGGCATAGATGGAATATGGATGGTAACTGTGGTAGGCAGGTAGGATGTGGCTGGAGGCAGTATGTCACTCGTGGCTGCCTTTGGGGTTTATACTTTGTCCCTGAGAGCAGTGCTCTCTCTCTGTTCCTAGTTCCCATGTTGTGAGCTGCTTTCCTTCTCCCTGCCCTTTTGCCATCATGTTCTGCCACACTTGGGCCCACACTCTGGACTGAACCTCCCAAGACACTTTTCCTCCTCTAAGTTGTTCTCATCAGATCTTTTGGCCAAAGTTATATAAAGGTAAAACAGAAAGAAAAACTGTAAAATAGGAAAAGTTTATTGAGACAGGACCATCTCAGGGTGACCAAGTATGACCCCACAGATTGTTAGTCAATGAAAAGGGAGAACTGCATCTTTACAAAGGGGAGATCTGATGGTCACCAGCATAATTAAATGACCAAACTGAGCATTACTAAGAGTTGGACACATGAACATTTTCTGCCATATGATGTGTTGCAATACCTGATGTTTGAATGAATAATTTTTTTTTCTGGTAAAAGAGTATTTTTCTGCCTTACCAAGACCTAGAAAATCTTGATATACTTCTCTAGTGACTGTTTTTTCTCTACATTTGGTCTCCCAATGTCTCGTTAGAATAATACATAGAGATAAAAACCACAAAAATAGTGAGGCATTTTTTAAAGCAAAATTCTTTTCTAACTCATTTTTTATAAGGATGATCATTTTAATTCTGACATACATTTGTATTTCCCTTTATGTTGACTTTCCAACATGGTTTCAAAATCTGTAGATTTCCGTTGCATCTCTTCGTGTTGTGGTTTAAGAACATCATGTTCTTTTGGGTCACTTGATGTTATTATTCTGCCTGCCACACTTGGTTTGAGCTATTCTGCCGTCATACAATAGTGTTCATTAGGGTAGTTTTCAGCAAGTACTGTGAAATTTTTAGAAAACATGCAAAATTATGGTTTCAAAATAGATATATTGGTTTTGCCAGAAGGAAACCCTACCTAACCCTACCCATGCCCACGATATGGTCACAAATTGTTCACATTTGTTCACATATGTGTTCTCAACAGTAAGGGGAGCCAGCCAGACTTTGTAACAGTCCTGGCAAATGTTAATGTAACAAGAGAAATCAAGAAACATAACAAGCAGCTGTGTCTTTTTGGTTTGGTTTTAAAAAAAGAAAACAGCTTGAATGTGAACGTCTTTCTAGATTTGTTATTCTAATAAACAGGCAATTTGATTTCCATGATAAAGTTGAAGATTTTGAAAAACAGAATTCAGGTTTGTTTTAATAAAGTCCAGCTATTATTGTAAAATTCTATTGATAAGTGGGAAGAACTTGCATACTACTGGAAATGAATTGAGAAAAAGATGGTAAAAGAACTAGACAAACATGGGTAGACCCATTGAAAATGAACAGTGATGTAAATCAATACCACCTACAAACCCATCAGTGTATATGCAAAAACCAGCAAAGTTGTAAAGAAATTCTGTGCAAATATACTTTCAACCCAAAGACAACTTCAAAGAAAAATATTGCTGGTTAGATATAGAATTGGAAAATTGAAAGTACTTTGAATTTGAAAGTACTCTGGAAGTTGAAGTTTAAAAAGGAATGTACTGGGAAAGATTTTTGATTCTTTGAAAAAGAAGTAAGCAAAAGTTTCCTGTTTCAGATCCATTTAGGTAACATTTGCTGGCTGTGGTTTTATGCCCTATGCATGGCGGGCAATAGATGATTCCTGCTGTGAAAGAGATCACACCGAAATCGAGGCGTGTACAAGGCAAAGCAGATCACTTGGAGTTCCAGAAAGGAGGATGGCAAATTTTAAAAACTAAAGAAGGGGGAAGCCAGAGGATTTATGACAGAGATGTTTTATGACCTTAAGTGACAGTTTATTCGAGTAGAAGATAGAGGTGGCATGGGCGTCTCTGACAGATGAGAGAGGAGTCTGTGTGGTCTAGAAGAGCCCCACATGGAACCTTATGAAGACATCTTCTGTGGCATCATTATAATAGGTTATAATGGCCCTCACTAGACTGTCATTTCCTGAAGGAAAATTAACATGCAGTCAGCCCTCATTTTTAGATTCTGTATTGATGAACTCCTGCACCCACTGAACTTTACTTGTAAACAAAGTTTACAAATATGCTTTCATACTTCTCCTCTCTCACTTGTGGACATGTGAGAGCAGTGAACAATTTCCAGTTGCCCAATGCACATGTTCCCAGCTGATACCAGGAGACACCTTGTCCCCGGTAAATACTTGCTTTTGACTGTTTTTTTAGTGCCATGTTTTTTTGCATTTTTGTGCTTTACATCAGTGATTTTGCTGTTTCAAATGGCCCCTGAGCATTATTCTGAAATGCCATCCAGTTTTTCTAAGCACTAGAATATTGCGAAGTGCTTTAGAGAGGAAATATTTGTGTTAAGTCACCTTTGTTCAGGTATGACGCGCGTGCGTATGTTCAATGTTTGTGTTTCAAGATATTAAATAAAGTGTTTTTAAACAAAAAGAAAACAAGGTACATATTGATTGATTGATGAAAGTGTTCAGACTGGAGACTCACAGAAAGAAAATGTTATATTTCTCCTAGTCATAGCGCTTCAGTATTTGCTCAGTTAGTGACTTTGTAGAACATATAACGACTCCTGGTAAGGAAAATTGGCTGTATTTCTGTGCCTAGTACTTAGTGTTTAATAGACAGTCAAGGAGTTTTATGAGAAATTACTTGAATTGGGAAGAATAATTCAGCTCCCTTAAAATTTTCAATACTGAGCTCAGGAAATGGGGTTTTAATATCATACAGGCAATGGAAAGTCTTTGGAGATGTTTTTGCCCTGAAAATGATCTTTTCATTGTGAATTGTTCACCAAGAGTTGATAAAATGGTCTAGATAGTGTCATGGACAGAATGAATATCCCTGGGATCCTGATCATAAGAAGCTTCTGATAAGCTCTAAGAGTTTCTTTAGGAGAGTTAGTTTCACAGGATGAATGGAAGAGAAGAGAGAATGGAAACACAAAGCTAAGTTATGCCCCTTCTGGAGCAATCCTGACTTAAGATAGTAAAGACCTGGATTAGGGTGCTACATAGAGAACAGGGAAGAAGGGGCAGGTTCTGGAGCAATGAAATAGAAATCAGAAGGTGATTTCATGCGGAGGGTGGGGCAATGGAAGGGTGAGACTAAACTTTGAAGTTTGCTATCCCGACTTTGTTATTTCCTGTGCTGGAAATTTTTTTTAATAATATTTTTCTCATACTGGGTTATTACTCCATTCTGTGCTGAATCTTTTTTTAGATACTAGTATTGGGGTCACAATCCTCATCCCTTATAACTAGCAACTGATGAATTGCTTACTGTTGGGGATGAGAGTGGGGGAATAATAGATATAGTTTTTAAATTAATAACAAATTTTTATAGTTTATTGTGAAATTTTGTCTGGGGAAGGGTGTTCAGGATTGAGCTATACTTTTTAAACTGAGTGTGTATAAATGACTTCCACTCTAATGACAATTTATACCTAACAGTAGATAGTTAAATGTTATAAATGCTAAACTTGCTGAAAAGTCTGTGAGAAGGAAGACAATCATTCCCTGCTGTTCACTGTAAAATTTTGTGAAAAAAATACAGAGATGCTGGGATCAGCATTAATTACATTTTCAGTAGAGCATATAAGGCAGTAGCCATTTTAATTTAAATTTTAAGAGTCAATCCTTCTTTGTGAAGTACCTAGTGTGTGTCTTTATAGTTTCCACACTTTGAGAAATAAAACTCTGTTCTCAAGCAAGCATTGTCAGAAAGCTTTAAATATGTATGACAAGCTCTTTAGTTAAATTTTGGTGTCAGTGTATCTTTTTTTTTCCTATTAGAAGTCATTTTTTAAAGACACAGTTTATATCTTACTCTACAGGATATTTACGTCACTCATTTTACAAAGTTATGCAAAACTGATATCCTACTTGGAAGAATAATACTTTTCTTTTCCTGGCAAACTCATCTCAGGTAATCAAGAAATGTAGATTTTTTTTTTTAGTGTCAATGTTCAAGGAACAATTTACATGGCATTTTAAGCCTGGAGAATTTATTCTGTGGCTAAGTACTGCATGTGTTTAATTCAACGGGATATTAAAAAAAAATCAAAGAAATTCTGATGTTCTTTATCTTTTTTCATCTGCTTTGAGTTTAATGTATCTTTTTGAACAAAGCCATGTTTGTGAAGAACATTAAGTTTTGTTTGGCCTTCTCAACTCCAAGTACTCAGTGGACCTTACTGCAAGGTTATGCTCCCTGGACTGATTGATATATAAACAGAAGACAGATGGTGTAGAGATGACTCTGATGATAATTCATTTTTCAGCTAGTCATGAAGATATTTTGATTACAGTATGTTTAAGTAATTATAACACAGTCTGCAATGTTAGTCTTGCTGGGAAGGGAACACATGGAAAACAAGTTATGTGTTATTCGTGCCCAACAAAGGATGCACTGTGGTGTAATGATTTTAATTCCTAATGCTAGATTAGGACTGAAGGAGTTTAAAATATGTCATACAGTAAGGTAAGTCAATTAAACATAGACCAAATAAAAAAGGTAACTGCACAGCTTTGAGGCATAAATATTTGTTTTGGAAAGTATTTAGATGTTATTATATGAAAGAAACCAGTATTTTTAAATTTAGGTAACAGTCTGTGTACCGCTAATTAAAAAATTACGTGGCTTGATTTTAAGTTTATGTGAATCGTAATTATCATGCAGCTTGCTTTTCGTGTTGTGAACTTAAAACCCAAATCGAGAGGGCTGACGAGTCAACAGCATGTTACAATCCTGCTGTTCTTTTGATGTTTTGAAAAAAAAAAAAAATGGAAGCAAAATGTCAAAATGAGAAAAAAAATTAGTATTATGTGAATAGATGGGTCAAGTTTTCATTTTCACTTCCTAATAACAGTTTATGCCACCATTTTTTATTTCACCATAGAATAATTGATCGCTTAGATGGAGTTCGTTTGTTGTGGTCCCTGCTGAAAAATCCACACCCAGATGTGAAGGCCAGTGCAGCATGGGCCCTCTGTCCATGCATTGAAAATGCAAAGGTAGGAACGAACTGCAAATCAATCTGTGAATCAATCTACAGTCTCTAATACTATATTGAATAATGTTGCCACAGGTCACTAATTGCCTTTGACTTACCTATGGTTAGATTGATCTTGTGGAAAAAAAAGTGATAAACAATGTTTATGCAAAAAGAATTTTTGAGCAATGCCTTCTTCTGGTCAGTTTCAAAATGCCAAATAAAACTAGTGTCTGATGCAGAGCTTACAAAGTTCTACTTGATGTGTGCAATTGAAACAAATACCCTGTAAATCAGAAGAAAGACAGACTGAAGTTCTTAATTCTTGGATAATAAGAAAATTATCTGCATTTACCTGCTACTTACAGAGAAGGGCAAGCATGGTGGGAAGCTTGACTTCTTTTATGGTAGCTTTAGCCAGCAGTGAAAGCGCAGTCAGGTCTGCTTTACCTTGAAGAGGTTACATAATTTTACTGTGCCTCACTCACTTTTCTTATCTGTCATTAACAACTGAATCAGAAGTTTCTGATGTCTGTTTTAGTTCTTCACTTGTAAATTGTTTTATTTTCTTTTGAAGATATCTTTTCAGCTTGTCTCTCTTTAGCAACATTCTATCAGTTTAGAGATTTCTCTTGAAGTCCTTGTTGCCAATGCTATTTCTTTCTGTTGAATACATTTATCTAAAGGATTTTATTTCTTTAGTAAATTTAACATGATTCGAAATAGTATCCTAAATGTAACCATTTGTGAAAAGTGAATTGTGATATATACTAGGAAAGAGGAGACTTCATTAATGGAACCATTGTTTATCACAGCAAACAATTAAAATGATCTCAAATGTCCATCTATAAGAAATGAACAATAAGATAGTAGTCTATTTATACCATATCATATAATGAAGCAATTAAAAATGAACTTAATTAATATATTCGTTGATATTGATAAATCTCACAAAAAATATTAAGCTAGTGCTGGGGATGTAGCTCAGTAGTAGAACATTTGCCCTTCATGCACAAGGCTGTGGGTTCAATTCCTAGCACCACAAAAAAAAATGTAAGTAAATAAATAAGAAATAACAAGTTGCAGAATAAGTATACAATATGATTCCTTTGAAAGTTCAAAGACAGTTTTAAATATAAATTTTAAATTATATTATTTAGGGAGCAAGAAAGAAGTCTATTGGGTGAAGACCAATATACATATTTGAAGAATAATCCCTATTGGTTACTTTCCATATCAGCTCAGTCCTTCATTAATAAATATGACAATAAAGGAACACCATATATTTAAGAAATGATATTAAAGAGAAAAAACCACATGGGGGAAATGGGGATTGAAATCAAATTCCTTGCATGTATGATTTTGTCAAAATGAATCCAACTACTGTGTATAACTATCATGCTGTAATAATAATTTAAAAAGGACAAACCAAGATTAATAAGCAGAACTAACTTCAGAGGAAACTGGATGTACAGAAAGGAACAGAATGTACCTTTAAAATTTATTTTAAATTAATTTTTTTAAAATTAATATTCTTGAAAAGAATAATCCAAGAATACTCCAAATAGGTGGTTATAAAAAAGAAATACAGAGAAAGGTTTTTTTGAAATCTAAATTATTTGGCAAAACAATAAATATAGTAGAAAAGAGTAAAACTATGATCAAAATGGCTAAATATTTATCTGGAAGATATAGTCTAATAAAAAATAAGAATATAAAGTAAAAATGAAACAAAAATAACACACAAAAATACATTAAATAATAATAATAATAAAAAAGAGTAATTGAGAAGAAATAGTTATTTTTTTTCTTGTAGAAGAAGGTTCTATAAACTGAATTTCTAAAGAAAGATTCTAGTTTTCAGATTTGAAAGATTCACTTTTTGCGAAGCAGGAAAACAAGCAAAAATTTTCATACCTATACATACATTTAAACTTGGTGTTTCAGAAATAAAAGAAAAAAAGTTATAAAAGAACAAAAATCACATCACATTGGCATTAGACTTAACATCATCCACAATAAATTCTGAAAGAATTTACTAGTAAGAACATAGCTGGGCTGGGATTTGTGGCTCAGTGGCAGAGAGCTTGCCTCTCACATGTGAGGCACTGGGTTCAATTCTCAGTACCACATAAAAATGAATAAACAAAATAAAGATATTGTGTCCATGTGTAATCAAAAAATATTTTTAGAAAAAACATAGTTTTTTATGTCTTTAGAGGAAAGTACTTTTTTATCTTGGAATTTTATATCCTTCAAAACTAGCTTTTGAGTGACAGTAGAGAGTGAGGAAGAATAGACTTTTTTTTTTTTCTTTTAGAAATGGCAGAATTCAGAAAGTTTATCCCTGATGAATCTTTTCTGGAAAAGAAAAATAGTTTTTATTTTAGAATATTTTTCAGCAACATAAAGATTTTAGCTGGGCTCAATGGCTCAAGCCTATAATCCCAGTGGCTCAGAAGACTAAGGGAGGATTGATCATAAGTTCAAAGCTAGTCTCAGCAACTGAATTTAGCGAGGTCCTAAATAACTTAGTGAGACCCTGCCTCAAAATAAAAAACTAAAAGGGGTTGGGGGGTGTCCTGGAAATTTGGCTCAGTGGTTGAATTAATCCCTGGTACCAAAAACTAAAAAAATAAAAGATTTTATGAAAGAGAATAATGTGAGTTATAAGAAACAATAATGAACAAATACATGATTTCAGTTAAATATGAATTGATGTTGATAATATGGCTTTTAAGTTTCATTACATTATTAAGACAGAATTCCTCTCAACGTAGTGGCATAAAATAGAATTAATGCTGATAGCATTACCACAGTAACAATCTGACTTCAAACTACCAGAGAATTAAAACTACAAGTTAGGTAGTTAGGTAGTAACTTGTAGTGGTTAGGAAGTAGTAGATAGTAACTTGTAGTAGTTCAGAAGTCATAGGTAAAAGCATGCTAAGGGCCTTTTCCTTTCCCAGAAAAAAAGTGTTATAGATACTAGTTATTTCTCAATTATCATTGAAAGTATCAGTTTAAATATAGAATTTAATATATTGATGAGATGCTATTTTGTATAGTAACCATTTCTACTTAGTACTGTTACTTTGTATAAATTGTGTCTTATCTCATGGATTTTCTCCATATCTACTTTTTTATCACATTCATTATTCCTGTGCAGGCTTCCAATCTTGAATATCAGGCTTATCTTATATGCCAGCAACTGAAACTGAACTAAAATTAGACCTTAAACAGGACCCAGTCTTCCACTCCCCTCCCCTCCTCCCTCCCCCTCCCTCTTTTTTTCCTTTCCTTTCTTCCTTTTTTCTACCTTTGATTTTGAATTCAGATATGAGATAGTTATCAAAAGAATTTATCTGCATTAATAACCCTATGTAAATCAAAAAACTTGAAGTCAAAGTTATTAATTTGGCTGATTATTTCAACAATAAGGACTGTTTTTTCTGATTGGGTAACATGGAGAACTTTCTCATAAATTGAATTAACTAAATATGCAGAATCAAAAATTTGAAGGTATATATAACTATCAGAACATTTATATTTTATGACTCAATTTATGATGAAAGCAGTTTTAGATGTCAATTTCAAATGAATAAGAAATATACGCAACTTTTCAGAAATATACTGGGATATGTGAGCACAAATTTTAAAGACCATTGATTAGTCTCATGTACCAGGTCTGGCCTTTGAAGTACGAGAATGGGAAATTTACACATCTTTCCTCAAGAAAGTAGCCTGATTTATAAGGATCTAATCTTTTGAGAATCTCAATCCTATTTTTCAGGGTCATAAACTGAATATTACATTGGCCTTCCCCCTTACATATTTTCATTTATTTAGTTATTTGTTTATTTATTGATTGGTTCTAGGGATTGAGTCCAAGGCACTAATCCCCATTCCTTTCTATTTTTCATTTTGAGACAGGGTCTTTCTAATTCACTGAGGCTGGCCTCAAATTTGTGTTCCTCTTCACTCATTCTCTGAGTAGCTGGGATTATAGGCATAAGCCTCCAGGCCAGCATTTTTTCTTTTCTTTTGCATTGGGGGGGGGGGGTGGAATCCATGCCCTGAGGCATGCTAGGCTCTACCACTGAGCTAACCCCAGGCCCTTCCTTGTATCTTTCTATACAAACTCATTTTCCTAATGCAGAAGGATATGTTAGGGTTAGAGCTTGAAATAGATCATTTGCTCAGAAAGGCAAGAGGAAAGAAAGCAATTTATAATATTTAAATTAGATAGCATCTTATTATTTATACAGATTCCAGTCAAACCATGGTCTAAGAAAGCTTGAGCTAATGAAACTATGACAATGAAAATGTACTGCTCAAATATGGGTACTACTAGCCACCTATGGCTGTTGAGCATTTGAGATGTGACTAATATAACTGAAGAAATGAATTTATAGTTGTCTTAAATTTTAATTAAAGTTTAAGTGGCCAACTATGGTTAGTGGGTATTGTTTTGGTGCCTAAATCTAAATTTAAAAAAAGCAATGATGAGTTTTGTTTTGGTAAGGCAACTGTTAAAAAGAGTTGTATATCTCAAGAATTAAATAAAATTGTGTATGGTTATATGTTCATTATGTTAATTTTAGAAAGTTAAGTAGAGGAAAAATATTATTTTTAAATTTCAGGACTTGGAGATAACCACTATTAACAGCTAGCATTTTTTTTTCTCCTTAACAATGAGTATCTGATTCTCAGTATTAGTTATCACTGTCTAATTTTCTTTGGCCATCTAGTATTTTATTTTATGGCAATATTACTTATGCAATTAAGTTTCCAGTTTTAAAATACAGAGTGAGGTTAAAGGAAACAAAAATTCATTGGAGTCTTTCTAGAATATTCTTTCATATAGGGAAAATAAAGTTACCTCTGTCTCATTGGTAAAAATTTGAACATAGTTCCCTAGGAATATGATTTATAATGTCAAAAGTCAGCGGTTAGTGTTTTCTTTTTCTTGATTATACATAAACTAATAGTGCATTTCAGAATCAAGTGCATTTTGGATTA